TCTTCATTAGTAGTTTCTAGTGGCGCCCACCTAGAGGGTCTCCCTAGCCAGTTTGGTTGCCATTTCCTCCAAACTTCTAGTGATGATCTTCTGAGGCCTATTCTTAGTTGAGGCAAATCTTTTCCTAAGACAAGATAACCCAAATTCCTTCAGATGTGAAATGCACTTTCAGCCCTGACTGACATCTGTTTCATTCAACCAGATTATGACAGCTTAGATTTTAGAAGTTCTTCAACATCCAGGCCCCACAGTCACAGTAATACAAGAGCGAGTCAAATGAAAACCTTAAAATGGCAATTTTGGTTGCCATTTCCTCCAAACTTCTAGTGTTGATCTTCTGGGGCCTATTGTTAGTTGAGGCAAATATTTTCCTAAAACAAGATAACCCAAATTCCTTCAGATCTGAAATGCACTTTCAGCCCTGACTGACAACTGTTTCATTCCACCAGATTATGATTAAAAATAGCTGCTATTGTATTAACCTAACTTCACAGCTTTCAGCTGAGGCAAATCTTTTCCTTTTCCTCAGATTTTAGAAGTTCTTCAACATCCAGGCCCCACAGTCACAGTAATACAAGAGCGAGTCAAATGAAAACCTTAAAATGGCAATAAAATGTAGAAACATTGTGCCATTATCTGTAAGTTGGCGGTATTTTTACCGATGACATAAGGAATGTCTTACAGGTGGCAACAGAGTGCAGACAAGCAACACACCATCGCAGTAGCAGTACATAAACATGGCTGCCCCACTTGAGACATGCACCGAAGAGGAGCAGCATTCTCTCATTCATGTATTGAGTAGTGAAGGAGTGAAACCTATTGCAATTCATCAACGAATGAAGTTGCAATATGGTGATGCATGTCTGTCACTGCAGCGAGTGTATGAGTCGAATAGGACGTTCACTCCTTCTCTACTCAAAAAAACGGATGACGAAACATTGCTCCTCTTTAGTGCATGTCTCAAGTAGGGCAACCATCTTTACGCACTGCTACTGTGATGGCGTGTTGCTTGTCTGCACTCTGTCGCCACCTGTAGGACATGCCTTATGTCATTGGTAAAAACTACTACCAACTTACAGACAATGGCACGGTGTTTCTAAATTTTATCGCCATTTTAAGATTTTCATTTGACACACCCTCATATATGAGACTTCAGGCATTACTGGGTACATAAATGGACAGAAAAATCAGGGAAGAGATGCAAATTTCAAAATGCAGTATGAAGAAATAAAAATACACAAATATGGAATGCAATGAAGAGTAGTTAAACAATTGCTAGCAGAAGTGGTCACTTTAACTAATGTGTTCATCCAGACCGAATCCAAATGGAACCCACTCATGAATGTGTGTATAGTATCCCAAAGTGGAGGAAGCAAGCCAATACGGAATTCCAAATGATTGGATTGACTAGGAAGAAGAGAATTGGGTTTGGAGCAGAAGTAAAAAGAAAAAAGGACAAAGAGAAGGATGCCAAAAGAGTCTTTGGGATTTAGAAGGAACAGGTTGGGTGACTGAACAAGTCTGGAAAGGAGGGCAGGACAGCAAAATGTCCCAGGTTGCTGGCAGAGAGAGGAAGGGAGGTGCTGAGTGGTGCTCACTGAGAGAGAGGGCAGACCATCCAGTAACAAGGGTATAAAGGAGATGGGCTAAGAAAGGGGCAAAGAAAGAGGGATCAAGAGTGTAGTGAGGAGAGCTACCTATGTTGCCCGATTGTGAAGTATGACCATTGTCAGGACATTGAGGAGCAGTCCTGGGGTGAAACTGAATCTAACCTGCTGGGCCAAACAGGGTTTTTTTGTTTTTTGTTTTGTTCCTAGAATATGTACATATATCTGTCAGTGACAGTAGCAAAGATTCTGTCTTGAGTTCTGAGGGGAAAGTTAATGGGGCAGGATATGAAGTTATTACTTGCTGTTTGCTTTATGTAGCAGGGACATATTATTCTGGATGTTCCTTGAGTACAGTGAAAGGTTGGATTATTGTCCCCCAAGCACTAGTTGTTCATCTGGTCTGGTTGTTGGGAGATCCCTTGGAATTCAAGACAAGCTAGTGGCGGAGAGATGTGACAGTATCTAATGAGAACGTGGCTGTTTCATGAGATGGTATTTCATTTCAAATACTTAACGATCATGATTTCTTGGATTGATCCATGATGGAGTCTACCTATACCTTTGTCTTCACAGGGCCCAGGAAAATAGGTTCTGGAAGGGGTAATACCCTGGCTGTAGTCTAGCACTCTAGCCTCTACATCACATCTGATTTATGATCCATTAAATTAAGTATGTCTTGCCATTGTTGTCTTTCCAGGAAATAATCAGCAGAGTGCTTCACAACTACCCTTAGGTGTCAAAGCAAGGTTTGCATGTCTGACTCTAGCTAGTAAAAGGGAGTTTTGATATTATAAGATTCACAAAATGGCTTTTTCTTACAGCTAAAATGTGTGTGTGTGTTTGTGGGGATATTTCTTGCATATATGGGAGGTAATTAGTAAGTTTGATGTGTCAGATAAGGGCTTCAGATGCTTCAAATAAAAAAGTACTTCGTAGCTAAAGGTATAGATTTAGTTTTTACATCTTGTTTTTATTTTAAACTGTCCCAGCATGAATGCCTGTGACACGATTGGAGGTAAAAAAGTGTATATATGTATGTGCAAAACAAACCCAACAGTAGCTAGTTTATATCCCCCCCTTTGTTTCTTCTTCCCCATCTCCCTGTTCTTAGTCGGTTTTATTACTCAAATTAAAGGTCGTGTTTTTACAGTTATGGGACAGCCATCAAGAGAACTGTGTGCCATGGTCTCTTGATACTTGGCATATGGTTAGCATAATTAAGTTGACTCCAGTGCTCCCTCTAAGCTGAGCTAGTGTGCTCGCAGTTTTTTAGCCTCCAGCTCACACATTTTTGTCTTAGCTCAGGAAGGAGAGCAGAGCAAACTAATTTACACAGTAGCCAAATCACTTGCTCACAACTTTAATGCCAGTAGCTCACAAAGTAGAATTTTTGTTCACAAGACTCCCCACCACCATCATCATCATCATCATCATCATCATCATCATCATCATCATCATCATCATCATCATCATCATCATCATCATCATCATCATCTATTAAATTTCTATCCCGCCCTCCCTGCCAGGGCCAGTTTAGGTTGGTTTACATAAAATAGCATAAGAATTACAATAATATAGATTAAAATTAAGCAACATCAGTTAGTACAACTAAACAATGCTAAAACCATAAAACATAATAAAGTGCTAGTATCAATAATTTCACAGCAATGTTGTTACTTGGTTCTCTCATCTCACAGTCAGCTCCTTAGTCTTCTTAGATCATCTTAGGCAGTAGGCTCAGGCTGTCGTTGGAGGTCCCAGGGAAACAGGACTCTCCAACCATGGACTGTCAGTTGTTAGTAGTGGTGGCGGCTCCAAAGGCCTGGTGGAAGAGCTCCATTTTACAGGCCCTGCAGAACTGCGAAAGGTCCCGCAGGGCCCTGGTCTCTTCCGGGAGCTCATTCCGCCAGATTGGAGCCGCCACTGAGAAAGCCCTGGCCCTGGTTGTTGCAAGTCTGGCCTCCTTAAGACTCAGGAGGGCCAGCTGATTCTGGGTCCCTGATCACAGCGCTCTCTGGGGTACATATGGGGAAAGGCGGTCCCTCAGGTATGTAGGTCCCTAGCCATATAGGGCTTTAAAGGTAAGAACCAGCACCTTGAAGTGAATCCGGTATGCTATAGGCAGCCAGTGCAATGTCCTAAGCACAGGCTGGATGTGCTCCTGAATAGGGAGCCCTATCAGAAGCCTGGCCGCGGCATTTAGCACCAGCTGCAGCTTCTGGATTTGAGACAAGGACAGCCCCATGTAGAGGGCATTACAGTAGTCCAGTCTCGAGGTGACCATCGCGTGGATCACTGTTGCCAAATCATTGCGTTCGAGGAAGGGAACCAACTGCCTAATCAGCCGGAGACTATAAAAGGCCGACTTGGCAGTGGCTGCTACCTGGGCCTCCATTGTTAAGGAGGCGCCTAGGAGCACTCCCAAACTCCTAACCTCTGGCGCTGACACCAATGGTGCCCCATCGAAGGTCAGGAGTGGGATCCCTACCCTCAAACCACTCTGACTCAGGCATAGGACCTCCGTCTTTGTTGGATTCAATTTCAGCCGGCTCAGTTTCCAAACAGTCACCAAAGGCTGGCCCTCATCTGTTCAGTAGTAATTTCTATTCTAATCTGTACTTCATATTGTGAGAATACCTTTTCTATGTCTCACAAGGTAGGTGCAGTATAATATCACTATGCTGGACTAACTTGGTCGATGCAGTGCAGTGTATTCAGATGGAATAATCTGGCCATTCATTTAAGATACCTTATCCTGCCTGATCCTGAAATATGTGATGGATGGATGATCATTCGTTTAATACCGGTTTCGTGTTAAGCAGTAGCATCACAAACTGCTGTGGGCACAGGCATTCTGAGACAGAGGGCTGAAGGCACATTCATCTTGATTAATTTTCTTCAGTGAATGTATTTAAGTATTTGGGCAATTTATCTGGGAAAATAATGGACATTATAAAGGCAGAAACATTTAAAGTTAAAAATATTCCTTCATTATCCCCAAATAATTGCAAAATTCAGTTGAACATTCTAAGCTAAGTAAATGAAGTTTTCTGAATTACAATGTGCAGCGTTAACAATCACTGCCAGAGTTTGTTAGACTATTAAGATCTATTAATCAGTAAATACTTGACTATTGGATTAATATGATATACATATAACATCTCAGGTGCGTAAAATGTGATAATATTTCATACTGATCTGAATTGACTACACATTTCTTTCAGTGGTGTCTGAATAAAGCTATAGTAAGTGAACATTTTACTGCATTGGCGCAAGCTTGAAATAGCTTGCAATTTATGCCTGCTTACTTGCTGCACAGGATTTTAAAAGATACTCTTCAAATTAAAAAAAATATGAAATGCCATGGAAGTATTTCTTCTGTATTTTTAGGCATAATTTGCATGTGCCCAAGAACCAGTTAAACCAAAGACCCTCAAGCATGGTCAGTGAAACATCTACTGCAGTAACTACATCCACTGTGGATACAAAGCCCAGCTCTAAGGTAAGTCTGAGTTTTTCCCTCTAAAAGGTGAACAGTCTCTCTCTCCCAAGGACAAAACTTGACCTTATATCTCATTAGCTTCCTAATGAAAAGGGTCATGACTGAGTTGCAATATGAATTAGAAGCTTCTTATTCAATGTTTGTGTGTTTTTATGTACAAAATTATTGCTTGCATAGTACTTATTACAAGCATTCTTTGTCCCATAAATCTTGCCTGCATAATGGGTTGTCAGCCATAACCATTTCTAAAAAATCAATTATTTGGAAGAAAATTATTGCTTGCCTAGTACTTATTACAAGCATTTTTGTCCCATAAACCTTGCCTGCATAATGGGTTGCCAGCCACAACCATTTCTAAAAAATCAATTATTTGGATCTCATGAGCTCCAGATCATACCTGGAGGTTTTATAAATATAGGCTGCACCATATACTTTTCTGAACAATGCCACTTTATGTAGTTGAACCCTCAGTAAAAGTGAAAAAGAAGTCCTCATAGGCTGAGAATTGTGCCATATGTTAACTAGTAGCTAATCACTTGGACAGGATTGTTAATGTCTAGACTAAGAAGAATAAGAGTTTTAGATGCAAAGAGAATATGATTTTTGCCTTTTTAATGGGCCATGATAAACGTCCAGAAAACATTGCTCATTACCACAAGACTGGCATTTGTTCACATGTTACATGTAATACAGTCATCTTTGAGAGTTTTGAGTTAGTAATATGAGATTTTTAGCATGTTAGTTTTTTTAAAAAGTTACTTGAACTTTTTAAAAATGCTGATTTTTATTTTGTAGCCTTTATTAGTGCCAGGCTGTGTAAAAAAAAAATCAGCAGACACATATGAGCATGGAAACAAAATACTGCAGAAATATTTGGTTATTTTTATATAATAAGTCTGTGCATGTACATTCGTTATTAGGCAATGAAATGCCATATAAATTATATTTTGACTTCTTGACAGCTGACAGCCAGGAACGTTGTATTCTTGAACAGTAAAAATAATTGTCAACTGGAAATCAGATTGGCAGCTACAGTTTTAAGTAAATTATTTTTGTGAATTCGGGTATTTATTTTGACTGGAGCATTCACTTGTTTTTCACTTCTGCAGACAGGAGAAAGGATAAATTCAGTATTTATCTTAAGCAAAGTAGTGTTGTTTTTGCTTCAGTGCATAATTCTGCAGGATCCTTGGTAGAATCGTCTCTGTCACTCCATGCCCATGAGAGGGGCATCTCTGCTGATAAGCAGCTGTCTGTTAGCCAACTTGCACTGGTGCAGTAGTCATGCTAGGAAAAGAGAGCGGGCAATGACACAACAGAGCAGGTAGCTGCACATTGCTCCTGGCAGCTGCTGTTCTTGTAGGCTCAGCAGGTTGATATTGCAGTCTGACTTGAGTCCCTCTTGGCCTCTACACTGTTGGAAGACTGCTGGCAAAGAGTCAAAAGGGACACAAGAATGTCAATAATTAATATTCTGCGGAAGCAACAAACAAGTGGCCTCCAAAATTCTGCATGGGGTACTCTTGTAGTTCCACTTTCCCCTCCCCTTTGTGGGCTCCCAAATGTTGGGGTGCGCGTATTGGGGGACATAGTATATCTATTTTTGTAGCATTTTTGCATTTGTGTGTGTGTCCTTGCCTGGAAGTCATGGCAACCTCTGACAACTCCTACTGGGGCACCGAGAACATTCAGAGAAGTGGCTTGATAGCCTGCCTCTGGCCTCCTGGCCCTGGTATTCTCCGGAGGTCTCCCATTCAAATACTTGCCAGCGTCGATCCTGCTTAGCTTCCAAAATCTGATGAGATCAGGCATTGGTACTGTGTCTGCTGTTTCCATGGTGCTATGCTTCTGCAATGTAATAAGTACCTTAATTGTTTTGCCAGCAGTAGCAAAGGTGAGAGTGGCATTGCTGGTATCACCTTGGTCTGTTCTTGGGCTCCTTTATCTCTTACCTGTGGTGAGGCTACATCGGCATGACAACAAAGTGACAAACTGCCAGCATATCTGCCAGGCAAGGGATTTTTGCCCTCTGTGTTCTTAATGTTAACAGCATTTGTGGAGATATAATTGGAAAGCCTGCTTCAAAATGGGCTAAAGACTTGCCTTTAAAAAAAATAAAACCAGAGAATTTGGAGAACTTGGTAGAGTGTTGCAGTGGTAAAATAATATAATGATATTTCAACTGCTGATTAAAAACCACCTTCCATGGTGGGGAAGCAGGAGAAAAACCTACTTTCCAGTAGCATCTAAGCAAACGTGTAAGTGATCGTGGTAAAAAATGAAAGACTGCTCAGGCATGCTCAGTTTATACTGCGGGTTTATACATAAGGCCTTTTCTGTTTTTTTCCCATTTTGCATAACTTTGCATTTATGAATACGTGAATTAATGAACTCAGGATACGAACCAGACTGATATATATATATATCTACCAATAGCTGTAGAAGCTAAATGAAATGTTGTGTTGGAACTCCTTGTTTTAACGTGCTGACTGTTATTACATGCCTCTGTGACTCCTCCCAGTCAGATTATTTATTTATAATTTAAATTTATATACTGCTCCTCTCTGAATTCACAGAGCTCAGGGCGGTTAACAACAGAAAACTGTACAACTGAAATGCAAAAATTAAAAATAGCTAAAAATAACATCAGATGGCACCCAATCATATAATATGCATTACTGTCTCACAATAAGTGGGAAATGCAGAGTGAGGGAGGGGAAGGGAGTGCCCCATTAGGTGGTAACCCTTGCTGTCCTCAACCAAATGTCTGAAGGAACATCTCTGCCTTGCATGCCCTGTGGAACTGCATAAGGTTCCGTAGGGTGCAGATGTTATTTAGCAGAGAGTTCCACCTGGTGGGAGCCAGGGCTGGGAAAGCCTTGGCTCCGGTCAAAGCCATGGATGAGCACACTTCTGGTAACATGGGGGTATGGCCTAATATGCCAATGAGCTGTGCTGTCAGGGGTGTGGCCTAATATGCTAATGAGTTTCTGCTGTTGGGTGTGGCCTATTATGCTAATGAGTTCCTGCTGGGCTTTATCTACAAAAAAAGCCCTGGCTAAAAATAACATCAGATGGCACCCAAGCATATAATATGCATTACTGTCTCACAATAAGTGAGAAAATAAGAGTGAGGGAGGGGAAGGGAGTGCCCCCTTAGGTGGTAACCGTAGCTGTCCTCAACCAAATGTCTGACGGAACATCTCTGCCTTGCATGTCCTGTGGAACTACATAAGGTTCCGTAGGGTGCAGATGTTATTTGGCAGAGAGTTCCACCTGGTGGGAGCCAGGGCTGAAAAAGCCCTGGCTCTAATCAAGGACAGCCAGACCTCTTTAGGGCTAGGGATCACCAGCAAGTTGTTCTCAGCAGACCGTAAAGCTCTTGGGGGGGGGGGACATACCAGAGGAGGTGGTCAGGTAGATACGTGGGTCCCAGACCATTCATGGTCTTAAAGTAGGCTTACTAAATGCCGGCGGGGGATCTGCAGCTCTTTACAGGATTCCTGCCTCGGGGGACGGCGATACGCGGTGCACCCGCCATCGCCAGGATGTGACGCTACATGTCGCTCTGGCAACGGGGCTGTTTGGAGTCCCGTTGCCAGAGTGACGTGTAGCGTCACATCCTGGCGACGGTGGTGCAATGCGTATCGCTGTCCCCCTCAGCAGGGAAGTATAAGCCTAGATGTTCAAGCTTACATGAGAAAATTCCAGTGCACAGAGGTTGTGTTAGTCGATGAGTAAGAGGCTATGTTGATGTTTTAAAATCTTCCCTTTTATTCCCTCTTGTAACCTACTGAAATTATATTCTTTGGCTTACTTCTTATTTAAATACAATAACATTTTATATATATATTAAAAAGTAAGTTGTTCTTAGCAATTAAGTGGATCTAGTTGAGAGCCAGTATGGTATACGGGTTACAGTGTTGGACTAGGATCTAGGTGACCAAGGTTAGAATCCTCACTCATGCCATGGAAGCTTACTGAATGATTTTGGGACTGTAACGCACCTTCAGCCTAAGCTATCTCACAGAGTTATTGAGAGGATGAAATGAAGGAGAGAAGAATGATGTAAAATGGTTTTGGTCCCCATTGGGGAGAAAGGCAGGGTATATATATACATAAATAATAGCTGGGGAAAGCCAGAATGCCATTTTGTCAATTTCTGACCTGTACTATTCTAGGTATTGTGTACCTGCTAGTATAAGTACAGCTACTGGAAAAAGTTCCCATTTTGGAGATCTTTAGAGTGTGTTTGTTGGCAGGGAAAGGCCTGGGGAAGGCCTGAAGAGCCCGCCCGCTCACCTTCCCTGGACCACGCTGAGGTGTGGGGCCCAGGGAAGGCCTGAAGAGCCCCCTGCCTGCCTTCCCTGGACCACGCTAAGGCTCAGGGCCCAGCCCAGGGAAGGCCTGAAGAGCCCCCCGCCTGCCTTCCCTAGATTGCACCGAGGTGCGGGGCCCAGGGAAGGCCTGCGCCACCTTTCCTCTCCCCTGCCTTGATCGGGGGTGTGTGGGCGCAGCCTGGCTGGTGCGTGGTGGTGGTGGCGGAGGCTTGATTGGGGTGAGTGAGGGAGCCACGGGGGTGGCGGTGGAGGCTTGATGGGGGGTGGGAGAGCCTCCCTCCCCCATCTCTTGTTACTAACAGTGCACTCCTAAGCAGAGTTACCCCTTCTAACTAAAATATTAGCTACGTTCATAGGCAGTTTGCAGATGTGCACAGAGGCACCTAAGTAATAAGTCTGAACTCACAAATCTTATTGATAATGTGCCTTTTAAACAGTTATAAGGGGGGCTATAAGGGGGGCAGCAGCAGCAGATGGGTGGGAAGGGGTGGCAGCTGTGAGAAAGCAGTCAGTAACAGTGCAAATGGATAAATCTGCATCCAAACCGTTCAGTGAAGCTCAGTTCCCTGATTATACTTACTGCAAGGAAGGTATCTCCGTTGGCCCATCCATCAAAGATGTTGTCTATGTGCAGATAAAGAAGCTGAAACAATCACACAC